TTTTCAAAATAGTATCATTTAATAAGATAAAGTACTCTCTACTTTTCTATTTATTTTGTTTCAGTTTTGGGTTTTTTTTTTTTTTTTGGTTATGCTTATTCCTGAGAATTATTCAAGCTAAACACTTGCAAATTAAGAAAGTTATGTCTTAATAAATGAATTTGGGAACCTACTACAGATTACTTCTTGCCTCAATACCACTGAATTTACAAGCATCCCTGTTAAAGCTGCAAAGGCAGAGAAATTTGTTTCCAGATAGCAGGGGTTCCCTTGTCATCTCCAAATATGCCTCATGGCACCCCTCAGCTGCCTTGAAAGGATAGAGACTAAGAACCTCTATCACCAACTAAAGGCCTCTTTGGCACCTTCCCTCCGGTTCTTCCCACCCTCCCCTTCCATTTGGGAAGCAGGAACTTCCAAAATCTCCTTTTTCTTACTCTTCCACAGACATTTACTAATATCATCAATGTATTATGTACTGGGGATAGTTAAAACGGATTCATTTTCTTCAGGGACTTACAGTCTAATGAAGGTGCTGAGTATGTGAAGTACCTCATAACAGTGGAGTGTAGGAATGAAGGATATAAAGGATGCAACAGAAACCAAGAAGAGAACACAAAGCTCAGAACTGGTCAGTGGCTGAAAACATAAGCTTTAGCATCAGAGACTTGGTTTCACCAGTTAGTAAATAATAATTCAGACAAGTTACTTAATCTCTCTAAATTCTTTCTTATAAAATATAATAAACAAAACCTTATAAGACTGTAATAAGGATCAAAAACCATGATTTATAGAAAATAATTAGTGCTAAATGCTTAGCTGGTAGAAAGTGTTCAAATAGCATTGGGGAAATACAAGAGTACCCTCTTCAGAAGGGAAAAAAGGAAGAAATCAGAAATAAAGGTCTCCCATTAAGGAATCCACTAATTAAATTTAAATGAAGAAAGAAAGCACTTGGCCCTAAAAGTACTTCTCACTGAAATCTGCACTGTAAATTGTCCTCCTTTGACTAAGATGACTGAATGTACAACATTTTTAATTTTAAAGAAGTTTTAGTTAATAGATGAATCACTAATACAAAGTACAAAAATCAGGAGCAAAATTTTTAAAAATATATTACACATATACTCTCATGCACATACATACACACATCCTATGTAACTTTTGATATGTTCAAGCAGAAGGCTGGCCCAAAGCTTCAATCCCAAAAGCAGTTCTATCACCAGTATTTTTCAATGTAACCATTATCAAAGCATGGGCTCTCTCTGGTTCCGCTGGTTTGTCAGATGGTTAATGGAATCATCATTACTTTATTGTCGGTCCCATTAACACTTGGAGGTATTTCACAGTAATAAATAGTCATAAATGTTTTGATATTCCTCTTCTCCTGACATATTTCAAAACCCAGTAAAAACATTTCTAGTGAAAGTAAAAAAGTATTTCTGAAAAAGAGAAATACAGATAAACAATTCATACTAATTTTAATTCAAAACGATCTGGAAATAAGTCACATGCATTTCATATTGTAGTAAACAAATGCCTCCAGAGGACTTGGGAGAGGCTGCATTTCTCTAATTTACAGTCATTACTGACCACAGTCATTACAATAAGGTCTAGACCACTTGCCTTATTTAAACCGCTTCACTCCCATTTCATTTTTCATCAGTATTCCATGGAAAGTATACTCCGTAGTAATGTCCTGAGCACACACATAGCACATTTGCCGAAGGACATTAAAGAATGCGTTCTGTATCCTGACTGTGAAAAACCTTTTCTAGGAATGCAAATTTTACTCTCAACACTTACACAATGGACTACAGTGTCACAAGCACTGTTCATATTCTATTAGTCATTCTGCAGAACATTTTATTTAAAAAATAATAAAAGGCCTTTAGTGTGTATAAAGAATTTGGGACACAAAAGACTCATTGTCAGACTATCTGCAGTCCCCAAAATAGAAAAATAACCCCCCAAAACAAAATTATTTGCAGCTCATAATTATTTTTAAAATGCTACCCCAGAACCCTGCACTTTTTAATTTAACCAATCTATAGTATAAAAGAGATGGTATAAATGATCTTATTATAATGGCATCTGATTGACAAAGATCAGAGACTACATTTTGTATTCTTCAGAGAAACAAAGGGGATTTGAGCTCTGGGACAGCTGGTGCCTGTTGGCATTTAGTTTAGAAAACCCCAAGGTCCTAAGGTACATGTGACCTTGGATACAGTTTAATTTGTATTATTTTATTTTAAGGTCTATCGACTATACTTCCTGAACTGAAAGTCAGGGTGTGTATTATTTGGTAATCCAGCAGCAAGTCTGAAAAACCAGGTTGTATAAAAAATGGTGTACATACATCTTTTTTCCTGCAGAGTATTGCTTCTCCAAAGATCGCATCTGGAAATACAAATAAATAAAACAGGCAAAAGCCAAGTATGCTAGCCAAAATTTATGTGTCCATAGGGGATCCAATAAGAACTGGAGAGAAGGAGGGACCTTGGGTTACAGCACCAATCAATCTCAACACCCTCAAGCACTCTCTTAAAAGAGCTTCTCAGAACTTCTTCAAAAATCTCTGACAGACTAGAGAAAAAATGAAAACTCATTTGGATTCATAAGTAGCCTAGAGGGGAAAGTTACTTACATACCAGGTTAACTGAGAAAATGTCATACTAAACTGAAGACCAGTCAGATCATTAGAGCTCCAAGCACACTACGTTAGCACAGGTAACAGGTATTTTGTTTTGTTTGCAGAAACTAAGTTAAAAAATTCAGTAGGAAAAGAAGAGTATTTAATGTCTCTTTCTCTTTCAAGTCTGGAAAGGTTAAGTTAAAATGCAAAGTATTGGCATCATTCAGTGATTTATCCCTCCATAATTTTGAGTACTGTTCCCTATTTAGCAGATTAGTTAGTACAAATCATAAAAAAGATACTATCTTCTCGCTTATTTTTGTCTTTTCTTGCTATCTGTATAAAGATGAAGAAAATACCTTTTTAAATATCATTTTAAAGTATTAATACTTAATATTAGCAGTAATCATAATACATTCTATTTGTGTGACACTACAGTTTTCAAAGCATTTCACACGTCATCATAGAAATACAATGTTATTCTTGCTTAGGCAAGTCTCTAACTATTAATATACTATGCAAAATAAAATACAAAATACACACACCAAAATTTATTCACACTTATAGTTCAGAAAATACTTTAGAATATTTCAGTCCCTCAGATACTGTGAATATCAACCACAACAATGTAGTAATAAAAATATAAAATAACTTCAATCATTTAAGGTCTCTGGCTCGGTATATAAAGCATCAGATTCTGTACCAAGCAAATAAAACTACTCCTAATAGTATTTCATAGAATCCAAAGGAAAAAAAAACAAAGTTTTTTCATACTCCCTATGTTTAAACTACATACTATTCATACTACAATTTACCAAGCACCTATTTGCAAAGCACTATGCTAGCTACTACCATCATTCAAAAATGAATTCAGACCCCTCTTTTTCAGAAGCATAAAATATAAAGGTCAAAAGTAGAGATAGAGTCGAGCCAGCGTGGCTCAGTGGTTGAGCATCGATCTATGAACCAAAAAGTCCCAGTTCAATTCCTGGTCAGGGCACATGCCCAGGTTGCAGGCTTGATCCCCTGTGTGGGGTGTGCAGGAGGCAACCGATCAATGATTCTCTCTCATCATTGATGTTTCTATCTCTCCCTCTCCCTTCCTGTCTGAACTCAATAAAAATATATTAAAAAAAAAAAAGTAGGGATAGTGCAATGGGGAAAAAAAGAACAAGTATTTTTCCTCTACCTAGACTACCACGGTTTTTTTCCACCCAATGATTTCAAAATCAAAATCAGTAGCATAACTGACTAAAGATGAACAACGAGTCCATGTATCTCATGTACATAATCAATATGTGCTTTTAGTTATTTTTTTAGGAACAATGATAGATGTTATGATTTCATATATACACAGTGAAGCTGTCAGACCCAACAAAAATCACTAAGTGACAGTGAAGTCTAGAACTGGAAGTCAGGAGATCACTAAATAGCACTAAATAGCTCTGTGACTTTGGAGGAAACAATACCAATCTTTCCTGGCCTTCTAACACTTATTGTGCCGTAGGGTAGGTTATTAGATTTCTCTAGGTCTGTTCCCTCAACAAACTTACAGAGTTGGACTAGAATACGCCTACTAAAAACTTTAAGTGAAAATTTGGGGGCCCACTCCCAGTGATTCAGAATGTCTGGGCTGGAACCTAGGAAGCTCAATGCTCACCAAGCACCACAGGTGATTGAAATAAGCAGGAGAGCCTCAGCCACACTAAGGACATTACAAGCCCTAGACACAGTAAAGAATCTCCTATGCCCCTAACTGTATAAAAAGATGACATAATTTGTTTCAGTGCCAAGGTCTTAGGAATTCTGGATCTAGCATACTGTGCAGAACATAGTAGATGCTAAACAAATATTTATAGAGAGGAAGAAGGGAGGGAGGGAGGAAGGGAGGGGATAGAGAAAGAAGGGAAGGAAGGGAGGAGGCCAGCTAACTAACTGGTCATATTTTTGGCTAAGAAACATAGAAAACTGTAGTAAAATTAAAATTGGGTAAAACATACATCAGCAGCTAGAAAGCAAAGATTTCAGTCTCTATGAACAATTTTTTTTTTTTGCACACAATTTTAAATATAGCATGAGCCCTTGTCAAACTGCAAAGTACTAAGGAGGAAAAGGAAAAAAAACACTACATGGAAGCCAAAGAATTCTAATGAAAAATTACCAATGACTAAAACTTAGTCATAGTTTTCATCAGGTAGAATACAGAATTTTAAGAACTGGGACTTGTAACTGGAACTAAAGTTTGTAGTTACTGTTTATTTATATGCATAAATTTCATGTAGGATAATATATGGATTCCAGAAATATTGTTGGCAATATTAATTTTTGTCCATTTTTTATTTTCATTTTCTGATTCACTTACATTATAATTTTTGAGATGTTTTATCTTCACTTCTGATGATCTTCAAATGTCAATGGCTCTTAACACATTAACTGTAAACAAACACAAAGGAACTTAGGGGAATTCAGATATTTAAGGAACCCTACAATAAAATATTCTAAATTACTCTGTAAATCCTGTGGGGGGGGCGGGGCGGGGAGAAGTGGAGGTGGGAGGAAACTTGAGCACCTTGTTTATTACTTGCTTCACAATTTATCTGATGGTTCATGTAAAACTCTTCTTTTAAATGGCAATGAAACTATCCTCTTAATCATCAAGCAAAGGAAACAAAATCAACCTATTTTCTGTAGGAAGAATAAAACATTCAAAGTTAGAGAAAATTCTCTCCAAATATGGGCACTCTGAACTCACTAACGTACTGTGTGCGTTATCCTTCTCCGCAGCAGTGGTCAAGGAAACTCACTTTCTTGTCACTACCACCCAATCAACCTGCCCTGGGATAGCCCTCTTACTACCAAGTATATTAGCCTAGACTGGGCACCAGATCTTCAGGTTCTCTACAGCACATAGAGCCTGGAGTTAAACAGATTTGGGGTCAAACATCAAACTCTTCACCCTAATTTTCAGTTTTCTGATGTGTAAAATGGAAACAATAATACTGCTTATTTTATATAATTATAAGGATTATATGAGAAAATACGTATTAAGGGATTTAGGAGCATGCCCATCATATAGCAAGCACTCAGTAAATGTTAAGTGCTGTCATTTTTATTATTGATTAATTAATATGAATATTAATTCATTACTACAACTATCTACTCCTTGAAAAGCAAAGCTTATCTCAGGTGTTTTTTATTTTTAGGTACTGCCTTTGGTTATAATTGAAGACTGTTATCCAATACCAGTAACAGAAGACATCTATCTAATATAAAATCTTATTTTTGAACTGTGCTGAGCATCTTGGTTCAGCTCAAGAAAATTAAGGCTTATAATCAGTAGTCTATCATCAGTCAAAGTTATTATCTTTTTTTGCTAACGTACAACCACCTAACAAAGTCCTACTTGAACAACTGCTCACTTGCAGTTATCAGTAACAGCAACTCTGTTAACAAAGGAGATGGATATATTTGTAGACCCTCTGAGCCGATGAATAATAATGCTATATCAATTCAAAGGAGATTTCTCTATCCTCTTCTACTCACTCTCAAATATTAAACTCTTCATGTATGACATTACATGCTTAAAATATTAATATTTATGTTAGGTGACACAAAAATGCATCAAACACTGATTTCTCTGAATTTTCAATCAAATTCTTAGGTCAAAGATATAAAAACAAGTACAAAAGCATTCATAAAGTAACATGGTCCAGGCCCTGGCCAGGTGACTCAGTTGATTAGAGCGTCATCCCAATATGCAAAGGTGGAGAGTTCCATTTCCAGTCAGGGTACATCTAGGAGGCAACCAATGAATGCATAAATAAGTGGAACAACAAATTTAAGGCTGTCTTTCTTTCTCTCTCTCAAAAAAAAAATCAATTAAAAATACACAAACAGCCCTGACTGGTTTGGCTCAGTGGATAGAGCATCGCCCTGCGGACTCAAGGGTCCCAGGTTCGATTCCGGTCAAGGGCATGTACCTTGGTTAGGGGCACATCCCCAGTAGGAGGTGTGCAGGAGGCAGCTGATCAATGTTTCTCTCTCATCGATGTTTCTAACTCTCTATCTCTCCCCCTTCCTCTCTGTAAAAAATCAGTAAAATATATTTAAAAACAAACAAACACGGTCCAAAATGACCAGCTTCATTTCCCTTATGGCGACCAAACCTTCTGAATTAAAATGAGAGAAGATATCTAAGTAGAACTTGAGGCGTATTCTGGGAGAAATAAAACAAATGGATACATGGCTTGGAAATGAACATCAGACTACCCAGGAATAAGCAGTGTAAGCCATCATCCTCACCACCACCACTACTTTACCATGCAATGCCTTGAGCTCTTCAAATGAAATAAATGAACAGCACAGTTGCTCATTCTTCATTTGCTTTCTACTTGCCTTTCACCTAATGATCTAGCAATGATCAAGTGTCTTCCTTTTATTTTATGGTCCTAGATTAGGATCATAAAAATCTGGCCCGAGATAATACATACAAAAGGGTAGAAAGTTAAAAATGCTCCAAGTTTAGAGTGTTCCAAAAGACAGTTCTCTTTTTCTGTCTGCTACAATATATCATCTCTCTCTTTCAGTGTATTTTCTATTTTGGTCCTTGCATTTGCAAAATTAAGATTGTCTCTGGCATAAGTGTTGTAGACTTAACTGGAAAATGCCTTTCTTGTTTTAAAATGATTCGTTCGGTATACAATGGGAGAAGCTGTGGATTACCTCCAATACTCAAGTCTCTCCTATTCTTAACCTCTAACTCGTACCTCAGCACAAGGCCTCCAAGAAAAAGCTACATATCCTAGTCCCCCTTGTGGCTAGGTATGGCCATGGGACCAACTGTACATAAGCTTCAAAGACTGTGTGACTTCAAAAAAGTATCCTTTCAAGGGAGACAGCATGCCTTTCTTCTTCCCATTCTTCCTTTAGACTAGAAAGAAGATGCAGTGGTTAGAATTCCAAAAGCAATTTTGGTTCATGAAATAACACTGGAATGTAAAATCTTACCTAATAATAAACAAACATGTAAATTGACCATGCCTTCACTATGCTGACCAGCCAATCAGGAGAGTATGCAAATTAACCCAACAAAGATGGCGGTTAATTTGCATACGTAGGCTCCAAGCGGCCGAGTGGAGCAGTGAAGCCTGACGACTCCGGGGCCGGCTCTGGCTGGAGCCCGGCCAGAGCGAAGGCCTGGGTCCCGGGTGCCAGAGGCAAACCGGTGCCAGCAGCCAAGGGAAGGGAAGGCCTATTGCACGAATCTCTTTGTGCAACAGGCCTCTAGTAAGATATATTAAGTTAGAAAGAATCTGTGTCCTTGATACTTCAGATCTACTATATCAGACCTATACTGACTATATCTTTGGGCTTTTATGTGCTAAAAAAATGATCTCTATTTTAAGGTACAGTTAGTTTGGATTTTCTGTTATACTCTGCTAAACCTAAACCCTAACTTAAAATAAAATGAAAAAAAAAAAAAGTTTTCCAAGTATCAGTATTTAGGTTTCTTTGAAATCTACAGATTAAAACATATTTTAAGTTAACTTTTATTATATTAAAAATGCATTGCCCTTATTTAATCTAAACTAAAAGTATTTAATGAACCTACAAGTTAATCACATCCAGTAAGAATCTTTGAAAGAATGAAAATTTATCAGCAATTACTGCCATGGGTACTATGTACTTGAGCAGGGGAAGAATTACAAAGCTTGCTCATTAATGGTCTACAGTGATGACAATGTTGATGGATATACAGAAACACATTAAGAGAGATAAACACAATTAGTTCTGTGTAATAAAGTTACAGGGAAGGGAATTGAGGTTATTTTCATTACGAGGGCACCTTCTCTAACCACTTTAATTTTAATAACCTTGTACCAATCTTTTCTTTTTTTAATAGTTCCATTTTTAACCTGTCTTCCTGTGGACAGCAGCTTATAAAATCACTCCCAACCCTGACTATAGCCTCTCAATAGCTTTTAATCCAGCGGTTCTCAACCTGTGGGTCGCAACCCCTTTGGGGGTTGAACGACCCTTTCACAGGGGTCGCCTAAATACATCCTGCATATCAGATATTTACATTACGATTCATAACAGTAGCAAAATTACAGTTATGAAGTAGCAACGAAAATAATTTTATGGTTGGGGGTCACCACAACATGAGGAACTGTATTAAAGGGTCGAGGCATTAGGAAGGTTGAGAACCACTGTAACTGATTTAACTAAATCATACAGTAGGCACAAAGTGCTTTACCTAATCAAAACTAATTTCCTTAAAAGGGGAAAATATTCTATTCTAAAATCTAGAGAATTTCCACTGGGCAACTCCTGAATCCCATGCCACCTTTGGCCCTGGAGATTCTGAATACAATAGCATTAACCTGGTAGCTTTCCAAAACAAACTTAGTGCTTTCTGGACATCTGTATCTGGGCTATTTCCTTCCCTTGGGCATAATCCAAGCTTTACTAGTTCAGGTGATGTCCTGAATTACCTCTTCATAACACTTTTTTCAAATGCATGTTACCACTAATGTATGTCACCAACGAACTATTTTTAAGAAAAAGCCCAATACATGTATTCTTGCTTTGTGTTATCTGTGGCTGAGAAAGAAAAGAGCTGGGGAAATTCCCTAACAATCAGATATAATTAATCTATAAGAGATGACTTTTACTTTCTACTACTTCAGTCAATATTTTACAACAATACTCTCACGTAATAGGCTTATAGTAGTTAGTTCTAACATAGATCTTAGTCCATTTCCACTAATATTGATGGAGTTACTAGGCAACAATTAGTAACAGATTGAAAGCAGTGGTTCTCAAAATTGCCGTGCATCAGTATCACCTAGAGGGCTTGCTAAAACAAACTGTGGGCTCCAGAGTATTTGATTCGGTTAGATCTGAGGTGGGACCAGGGAATTTATATTTTTAATAAATTCCCAAGAAATGCTGACACTACTGGTCAAGGGACTATGGATCTACATTAATAGAAAACTACTGATGATAGCATAGTAGGAAAAAAAATGTATATGGGTCCCCATCTCAGCTTTAGTATTAATTTATATACTTTTGATTAGCAATTAATCTCTTTAAATGTGCTTTCAAGAAATCTACACAATACTGATTAGTTCATAGTAATACTGGACTTTGAAGTTCTTTTAGAATCCTGGAATAATGAAATACAAAATAAGTAATTTTTAGGCTACCAGTATGTTCAATGTCTGGCTCAAGGTGCTGATAGTAAGAGCAAGATTGGAGGGTCAACCTGTTAGCTTCACTTCGTTCTGTAGCTATAGTTTCTACCACTAATCCTCGCCAGCTGCCTCAGAAGACACACCAAGAGTCACTCACAAGGGAAATGTAAGAATGTTTGATTGGACACAAATCCATCACCACTACTGGAAAACAACCCAAAAGCACATTTCCTACAG